TGATATTTATAGTGTTGCTGGGTCATGTTAAGGTTCCCAATGCATTCTTTACAAAATGATTACAGCCACACCCTAGAAAATTTGGAAAAGGGAAAGGGAAAGACCTTACAATTATATAACCTCACTGCTGTGTAAGTAACAGAATATAAAAGTCCCCTTTTATGTAGTTTCCAGTGTTTGTTTTGTGGACAGCCTTGTGCTAGCTAGGACTCTAAGATTTTGAAACTCTGAGCTGAAATTTGCTTAGAAGATGAATTATGTGATTCATTGGAAAACCAATAAAAAAGTATAAACTATTGAATAACTGAGCTCTTCACTTGAAGCCCATTTCATGAAATGATTTCCAGATACATTTGAGAGTTCTATTTTTTAAAACAGCACACATGCACTTGTGTGTGTGTGTGTGTGTGTGTGTGTGTGTGTGTGTGTGTGTGTGTGTGTGTGCTTGTCCAAGAAGGGAAGTATCTTGTGCTGTCAATCTCTGCCTCATCCCCTTGAGACAGGGTCCCTCCCTGAACTTAGAGCTGCGCTCTTTTTCTGCTTTGGCTGGGCTGGCCAGCAAGCCCTGGTGATTCTACAGTTTCTCTCCTTCTGCCAGGGCTGGGGTTACAAGACCACACCTAAATTTTTACATGGGTGCTGGGGATCTGAACCCAGGTCCTCACGCTTGCATAGCAAGAGCTCCCCCCCCCTACACTGAACCACCTCCCCAGCCCTTGAGATGTCCATCCTTCCTGATTCTCGGGCCTATTGACAATATGGGTGTTCTACAGCCATTTCCTCTGGACTGAAACACTCCCTCTAGCAAGGGGGCAGGGCATTCATGAGACTCAGAGGGTAAACACACTTCACATATCTGGGAAAGATGAAATTCATGGCATTCCCAGGAGCCCCTCCTCAAGGTTACGGAAGCAGTAAACACCTAAGATTATAGAAAGAGGAAACAACTTCTGGGTGAGGAGACTGAACCCAGGAGAGGGGCCTGGAAGAGGCCTCTGAACTGTCCAGCGGCCTGAAAGTTCTCTAGACAGCTCCAGAGATGCAGATTTTGTGAATCATCACTCATGCTAGGCTGGGCTTTTTAGTGATACAAACGCCTTTGAGTTATCCCTCCTTCTGTAAGTGACCCCTCACCCACAGTCCTGTACAGAACTCCAAAAATCCCATGGGTTCGCTAAGTTCGACTTGTAGTTCCTATGGTCTGTTGTGGGTTCCCAGTCTGGGTGAGTAGACACGTGTGTGGTTTGTCTCACTAGTAAAAGTGTCGCAATAATCAGCTCTGGGTATAGAAAGGGCTTGAAACAATGTGAGACAGGGTGCTGGGGAGATGGTAATGAGGGCATGTTAACACTTCTTAAAGATTTTGTATATTTACCATGGTTTGAATTCATATCATCTCATGCAGTCAGTACCCCAACAACATAATCCACACTTTGAGATTAAAATAATAGAGGCACATAGGAGTTAAGAAACTTAACTAAGAGCCGGGCGGCGGTGGTGGCGCACGCCTTTAATCCCAGCACTCGGGAGGCAGAGCCAGGCGGATCTCTGTGAGTTCAAGGCCAGCCTGGTCTCCAAAGTGAGTTCCAGGAAAGGCGCAAAGCTACACAGAGAAACCCTGTCTCGAAAAACCAAAAAAAAAAAGAAACTTAACTAAGGCCACAAACGTGTGGAGTTACAATTGTTTCTGAGGGTTATGGGTGAGTCAGGATCTATGCTATGGAGTCCTTGACTGGCCTTACAGTTGCATAGATGCTCTTGCCTCTGCCTCCCAAGTGCTTCTTATCATCATCATCATCATCATCATCATCATCATCATCATCATTATCATCATAGCGATAAGGTCTTATGTAGCTCAGGGTGGACTTTCACTAAGTTATATGGCAAAGCTGGCCTTGAACTCCAAATCTTCCTGTCTCTATCTCCCAAGTGCTGAGGTTATGGGTAGGCATCACCATGCCCAAGTGGAGTATTTGCATGTGTGCATGAATGAGAGCGTACATGTTTGTAGGTATGTATACATATAGTCGGAATTTTAATATTCTCTCTCTCTCTCTCTCTCTCTCTGCTGGTCTGTCTCTGTCTCTCTCTCTACCATCACAGAGGTAATAACCATTTTGGAGTGTCTGTTCTCCGTCTGACATTCTTTGAAGCTAGGAGGCTCTGGCGGTGGCCCTCTGAAGCTCCTGCTGTCCTGGACTTTGTCGCCAGGGAGGAAATTTGGTCAACAAGCAGAATGAGAAGACAGTGATAACTACCAAGAAGAAGCCAGAATAAAGTTCTTGTGCCCAGTGACAGAGGGCTAGACTGCCCCTTTCCACTAAGCCGGTTACCTACTGAGTGTGGGTCATATGCTAACCTCTATCTGTCCATGGAGACACAGCTGTGACCCCAGCATCCCTCACTCTCGACTCCTGACTGCTGATGTGGCCATGGCAGACCCTCATCCCCACAGCCTTCTGCCTCTTTCCTTACAAAGCACAATTTCTGCTTCAGCCATCTGCAGCTCCTTTTACGGAGTCAGGAGCCACGTAGGCAATACTCCCCCTAATCTGGTTAGATGTCATAAAAATAATCAGTTGCTACAGTGAAAGTGTTCTCTGCTTCAGTGTGTCCCTGAGGTTTTACAGACAGAGAGAGACTCGAAGGGTGCGGGGAGAGGCAGGAAGAACTGTCTAGCTGCATCAGAACTGGCTTGACTGGGAGCACAGTATTTAAGCACTTGCTGCTCATTTTCTGATGTGACACCTGCAGTCAGGCATCTGCGGCCTCTCCTCGGGAGTGCATGTGGAGAGGAACTCGTGGTGAAGTGTGCTGATGAAGGTTAATACTAGGCAGGATTTGGGGACTAGAGAAAGTGTGCCTTTGGAGAAAAGTGACAAAATGAAGGATTCTTTAACCCTGGAGAGAAGATGTAATCTGCTGTTTAGCCTCCTCCAGGTAGAAGTAGAGAATGTACCTCACCTTGGGGCCTCAGGGCCTCAGGAAGCTCAGTACTTAGCCTAGTTTGAATGATTACAGTGTCACATCCCTCCCAAGTCTCTTGTCACCAGGGCAGGGGGTATGGTGTGTGTGCCATTTTCTACTTGCATTTCAGGCTGGCAATTTGTGCAATGATGAAACAGTTCCAACATACTGCTGTGAAGTCCCATAATGATAATGGATGAGGTGGCATGCCGTAGCGGAATGCTGGCTAGTTTTATGTCAACCTGACACAAGCTAAAGTCATCTGAGAGGAGAGAACCTCAACTGAGAAAATGCCTCCATAAGATCAGGCTATCAGCAAGCCTGTAGGCCACTTTCTTAGTGAGTGACTGATAGGGGAGGGTCTAGCCCATTGTGGGTGGTGCCATCCCTGGGCTAGTGGTCCTGGGTGGTTCTGTAAGAAAGCAGGCTGAGCAAGCCATGTGGAGCAAGCCAGTAAGCAGCACCCCTCCATGGCCTCTGCATCAGCTCCTCCCTCCAGGTTCCTGCCCTGCTTGAGTTCCTGTCCTGACTTCGTGGATGAAGAGCAGCAATATGAAAGCATAAAGAATAAACCTTCTTCTCCTCAAGTTCCTTTGGGCATGGCGTTTGATCATAGCAATAGTAACCCTAACGAAGACAAGGAATAAGGCCCGGTATAGAAAACAGCTGAATCAGGTGTGCCAGGACTCAGAAACACAAGCTGCCTTTACATACTGGAACCCACAAGGGCTTGGAGAAGACCCTCCCCACCAAATCACAGTAAGCTGACTGCAGCACCCCACTCCTAGGAGCACTTGATTATTGGGGTGAATCCATGAAGACAAATATTTCATGATCTGGCCCCTCCAATAACAGCAGCTGGAATGATGTATAGACTTGGTACAGACTACTAAAGAGCTGAACGAGACTGGAAGCAGCGGCGGCTGGCCGTCTCACGTGCAACGCTTAGAGGGCAAGCGTCCTCAGAGTCAGAGGAAGCAAAGCGCTCTGAGCAAGCAGAAGAAAGGGAGGCCAAGGGAGAGTGGGGAAAGCGCTCTGAGCAAGCAGAAGAAAGGGAGGCCAAGGGAGAGTGGGGAAAGCGCTCTGAGCAAGCAGGCTCAACGTCACACACCAGAGCTCTTAGGAGTACAGGAGCGAAGCCCTGGTACTGTGTGAACCACTGCGGCCGTTCTTATTTAAAGGGGATAATATAGTAAACAAAGATGAGGTGCACGGCACCAGACACCTGTGGACATGTCCATGGAGCAGTTCCATCTCTGTAAAGATCGTTTAACTCTCTCTTATGTATGGTTATAATCTTCCCATTTCAGATTTCTTCCTATTGTGGAGAGAGACTTCAAAGTTCCAAGAGAAAGAAAAAAAAAAAAACCTGCTAAGAAAATCCTATTCGTTTGTGGCTTTTTAATATTTATTTTGGGAAATCACAAAGCTCACACAAGCACGGGCAATTGTGGGAGGACCCGCCTCCACTTTTTCCCCCACGGTACTCTTGAATAGAGAGAAGTGAGAAATATTTAGATAGAAATATAGAGGTGAGAGAGACAGATAGAAACACAGGATAGCCTTGGCAGGGCTTGGGTCAAAACCCACCGGCCCCTTCTGTCTCTTCTAAGGGGCTATTTATAGAAATGCCAAGGGATGGAGCAAAAGACCGCCCTCTAGCACAGCCAAGTGCAGACCCTTCTAAACACCTGGTAATCACGCAGGTGGTCAATCCGTCCCCTGATGAAGCCCTGCTGTGTAAAGCAAGCTCAGATCTCACTAGGAAACCTTTGCAGACTCCCACAGGCAATTGCAATTGCCCCAACACAGGGCCTCCATCTTTGTGTGTGTGTGTGCTCCTGGTTGACTTGGGTAGCACCATATCCTTTCTTCTCATCTAACATTGATGCTTTCAGCACCTTCTGCCACGTTCTCTCCCCTCCAGAACCAGCAGGTTTCAAGTGTTCAATCCTGATGCAGATAGCAGAAGGCAGAACCGGAAGTGAACCTGTACGCCTCGCTGGGCCTGTGGACCACACACAGCCTCTTACCTTTATCATAGATTTCCTTCAAGACCCCTCGTTTGATCAGCTCCTCTCTGCTCTGCCTCATCGATATCTTCCTTTCCAGAGCTGCAAGCAAGAGACCAGAGAGGCAGGTGTGAATGGTAACAATTGTCTTCCTCCTCACCACAAAAGGACGCATCAATTAATAGATATTATGATCTAATGAAAGAGCCTATGAATTACGTTTTACTGATGGTAAGCTAATGACACCAGTTAATATTTGAACACTCTGAAAAGACATTTAACCAGATTATTTTTAACTCTTCAAAATACTCTTTGAGTTATCTATAAGGCAGGTTATTGAATTTGATGTATGACTTCTGACTCTGATTTACGATAGAGGATGCCTCAGCCTGGAGAAGCTTCACCTTCTGTCAACCACGTGGCTACTGGATAAAGAAACCAGGACCCTGAGCCTCTGGGACTCTACCTCTCAGTCAGAGGCATGTACCTGAGTATGGCTGCCACTGGGTGTTTCACCGGTCTGGCTCCCCACTGAGGGTCTCCTTGCCTTTCCAGTGTAAAAATTAAATTGAGGTATGCATTTGGATAGTTATCTCTTGACAAGTACCCCGCACTGGCACTGCCCATAGGACCTCCAGGGACTATCTGAGGGGTGGTGGGTAACCAGGGAAGATCTCTGGTTTACCTCCCCATGTGGGAGAAGCCACATGAGGAATGAACTTTTCCCAAGCCAGGTGTTCCTCCAGCTGAGCCACCTGTGTGGTAGGCAGGGCTGGAGAGAGTTTTCCTATGGGAAGAGTGGGTGTAATGAAGAACAGTGAAGGGGAAATAGACACAAAGCGCCCACAGGAGGCATGTTGGGAACCTGTGGAGGGAAGGAAGTCCCTTCAGCACCTGCAAAATTCAGTCTCTGGTAAACAAGGTATGTGTGTGTGTGGGTTATTTCAGTGGCTTATGTCAGCCTGGGCATTTCCACATCCTTCAGGAGCATAGCTATTTAGGGGTGACATGCTACTGACAGAACAGAGGAGCGAAGCCACACGCAGGTCAGTTACACACACACACACACACACACAGATACACCTTAACAGAATTTAGAATAAGGACGCGTGGGCAAGAAGCAAAGCCTCCATGGGAGCCCAGGACATCAGTCATAGCTCTTTGCTGCTCTGGGGAAACAGATGCCTCACTGCAGCTATTGTGATTTCACAAGTCCTCAGTAGGGCTGAGGCACAAAGAAATTCTGTCTTGAAAAAACAAAAACAAAACAAAAAAAAGTGCAAGGATTACAAGTGTGCACTACTGCTCCAGCCTTATGTAGGTTCTGGGGAGTCCAATGAAAGTCCTTACACTTGTGTGGTCAGTATATCACCAACTAAGCCATCTCCACCTCCCTGAGGGCACATTTCCTTGGGGTGGAACAGCACAGGAAGTGACGTCATCACTCTAGTCTCAGTTGCTTCCTCCTTCTAAGATGCTATTTCCCTACTATCTTTTTTCACTAGCTCTGCATAGAGCCTCTCCTCTTGCCTCACTGCCAGCCGTCCTTTCAAAGTGAGAGCTCAGCTTGCTCAAGGCCAAAGTCAAGCACATCGCCACTCCAGTGTGCAGGGAAGTGAGTCGTCTGGTGCAGGAGGACCCTTCCAGCCTTATGACCTGGTTTCTTACTCAACTATAAAACGGGCCTGTGGGAGTAATAAAGGCTTCCCGCTTCACCAAACAAGGCTGTAGGTCAGCTCTCTTTACTGTGTAAACTTGGCTTTGAGTGAGGTAAAGACAGGAAAAGGAAGAGGAGAGAAATTATGAAAATTGAAAGACGAGGAGCCCGTCCCTGGAGAGGAACGGTATAAAATGCATTACACTCTTCCAAGGGACCGGGGCATGAGGCAGGAGGCCACGCTGTCTCTATGGATGGCTTGGCCTTTGGGAGGGAGGAAACAGAACTGAGTAGAACAGAGCCAGCAAATCGAAATAAGATAAAAATCCATATTGTCAGCTTGCAGGCAACAACCTGCAAGCAGGTATCATTTCTACACCAAGGAAAAAACGAGTCAGTAAGGACTTACATTAAAACAAGAAAACTTAAGGATGTAAGAATCATTCTTATTAGAGCACAGGGCAGTGTAAGTCTCAGGGACCACACATGGAAGTCTTTAGTGCAAACTTTCAAAAATTCTAAAATGAGATAGTGGGGGCTAGAGAGATGGCTCAGTGGTTAAGAGTACTCTGTAGGCCCCAGGTCAGCTCCTGGCACTCATGTTGGGTGACCCACAAGTGCCTGTAACTCCAGCTCCAAAGGATCTGATGCCCTCTTTTGGCCTCCATGGGCTACTGTACACATAGTAGATAATATAGACATATATACATAAGTAAAAAGAAATCTTTAAAAACCCACCTAGATAGTGGTGATGGCAGTATGAATCTTTGCATTTTATTTGGGAATTTTATTTTCATTTTGTTTGTTTGATTGATTGATTGATTGACTGTGTGTGTGTACTGATATTTTATTTGTACACCCCAATAAAGCTTATCTGGGGATCAGAGGAAAAAGCCAGGCACTATAGTAAACATAGAGGTCAGGCAGTGGTAGCACACACCTTTAATCCTAGCATTCGGGAGGCAGAGATCCATCTGGATCTCTGTGAGTTCAAGGCCACACTGGGAACAGAGCCACATGTGGTGGCACATGCCTTTAATTCCAGTGCTAGTTAACCATATAGGTCTGGAGGTCTGGACAGACAGACAGGAAGTGATAGAGCTGGGTGGAAAGAGGAAGTGATGTAGCTGGACAGAGAAAAGAAGTAAGAGGGCAGAGCACAGAAAGGCATACAAGGCGTGAGTATACAGGAAGTAGCTCTCTTGGGCTGAGATTTTCCTAGTGGTAAGAATGTGGCTGGCTTCTTTCTGCTTCTCTGATCTTTCAGCTTTCACCCCAATATCTGGCTCCAGGTTTGTTTTTTTTTTTTTACTAATGAGACGGTTTAGCGATTGTCGTATATGTGTGTGTGTGTGTGTGTGTGTGTGTGTGTGTATGTGGAAACTTATGAGGATGGTAGATGCCCTACTTTATCATTTTCTTCCTTATTCCCTTGAGGCAGAGCCTCTCCCTGAACCTGGAGCTAGGCTGGTAGCCAGCAAGCCCCAGAGACCTTCCTGTCCCTGCCTCCCACGATCCTGGGTTTACAAGTGCACTCACAGGCATGCCTGGCTTTTTACATGAATGCTGTGATCTAACTCAACTGCCCATGTTGGTACAGCAAGTGTTCTTACCCACTGTGGTGACTTGAGTGAGAATGGTCCCCATACATTCATATACTTGGACACTTGGTCCCCAGTTGGTGGGACTGTCTGGGAAGGATTAGGAGGTGTGGCCTTGTTGGAGGAGGTATGTCACTGGAGGAGGGCTTTGAGCTTTCAAAGCCCACGCCAATCCTAGTTACTTCTCTGTCTTCTTTGTGCTTGTGAGTCAGATAGGAGTTCTCAGCTCCAGAGCCATGCTGCCTGTTGGCCACCACGCTCACTGCCATGATGGTCATCAACTTCAATCCTCTGGAATCCGGAGCCCTCAAATGAAATGCTTTCCTTTATAAGTTGCCTTTGTCATGGCATTTTGTCACAGCAGTAAAAAATAACTAAGGCACCCAGTGAGAATTTTGAGTATTCTAAAAGCATGTAGTTGCATGTTTACAATGCTCTAAGTTTATGGTATATAAACGATACCCAGTTACAGTGTTAAGCTCACATTTCCTCATTTTATATATAAACATTGTTCTTAAAATCACCAACCAGCTCATTCTGTGTATTGTTCTTCATGTCTTACAATTTTTATTCCTGTCTGTCTACACTGGACTACTTCATTCATTTTTGGATGTTGTGTGTAACTTTTCATGGGACATAAAATATGCACCATGGTTTCTTTTGTGAGTCTGTAACTAAAGGAAATTTGTTTCCATGTTTTTTTTTGGATAAACCTGCTTCTGTGAGCCTTGTGTTTAGGTCCCCAGGAGAATTCTCCATCCCCAAAGGCTTTTCTCACTAGGAAGCTTGAGAAAACACCATTTCCGGGCAGGCTGTTTGTTATGCATTCTCAGTACTGATGACAGTTGTGTTTCATGATTTTGGGGGATTGCGTTTTTGTTAAGACTAAAAAGAAGCAGCAAGTGTTGGTTTGGCCCAGGGCTGCAGGCCCTGCACTCTGGCAGCCACCTTTCCCCCTCTCCCCTCACAGCTGCCCTGATAGAAATGGCTGGCACCACAGGGTGGCTGTCTGTGAATCTGGACTCCTTGCCCATCCAGCCAAGTTTACCAAGCGTCCTCAGCTATCAGGGGTGATAGGCGGAAGCTGTGTGTAACAGAAGCCTTCCCTCCAACCCCCCATTGCTGAAGCCTCTTCTCCCTCCTCACTGCTGCCCTGCCTGCTCTTCTCCCCTCCTCCCTGCTGCCTGGCCTGAGGCCTTTTGGGGGAGGGGGCAGTATTGATGCAGGAGAGTCATTTGGTCCTGCTAAGGGGATCAGAGTGGAGACCTGTTTAGATTTTGTTTCTCTAGGACAATCTCTCTCTGTTGAAGTCCCTGCTCAACTGTCTTTAAATTACATGATGAAGGGAATAGACATTTAAGGGGAGAAGCAAGTGAGAAATGAAGAAGTATTCAGCAGTCTCACAGACTCTTTCTCCTTACATTCCCTAAAACAGTCAACTTGCAATTCAAATCTGTAGCTTTGATCTTTTTAAATCTTACAGCTCCAGGGAAAGAAACATTAAAGCAAGAAATCTGTGAGTGACAGATAGAACCAAAGCTTCCAGAACCTTTAACATGCTTAAGCTCCCCGCCCAGCTTCACAGATGATGGGGAGAATTAATATGATCACAATAGCCATAGCCTAGGAAGACCCCAAACAACCCGTGCATTGAGAAGAAGCACACCTATAATCCCAGCACCCAGAAGGCAGGGGCTGGAGTTTGACATCACCATAGGCATGCCAATCACTCAGTGCAAGGCTCTGGGTTTAGTTTAATCTCCAGCATGGCAAATAAGACAGAAAAAGAAAAAGAGAAAGGAAGAAAAACGGAATGTGAGCATGTGGGTACACGACCGTGTTTT